TCCGACTTCCCTGTACAACTGTTTGTTCGTTTTTCAAATTATTTGTCTAGGCCTTACTTCTAGGAGGAACGTTTCGAATTGAGTATAGATATTCAAATACTTTACTTTGCGCTTCGCCCCCCAGGGTCGTCAGCTCGCGGCCGTGGGCAAAGAGGGCCTTTACAAGGAGGACCGCGACGACCGGATGTCCACGCTGTCCGGCGGCGCAAGATACTCGCCCTCTTTCTTCCTCTTCAAACCCATTAAGCCTCCCAAGGAGATCCTGCGCCCGGCCAACTCCATATACAAGACTCATTTCTCAGGTGAGAGGTCAAGGAGGAAGCCGAGGCTGGGTGCTGAGGGCGTCAGGAATCAATTAAGACATCAAAATCCGGAGAATTTTCTGTTTCACTAATGTGGCCAAGTGTTTGTTTTGTTGGTTTCAGTTTCATATTCGTGAACAGGTTTGTAGAGTTACCTGATACTAAAACATTCTTTTTGTTAATGAACTTTCTTTCAGTCAAATCACGTAATAAGGTCTCGCCGTCGCGACGCCTGTAACGGGCGTCCCACTCAAACGCCTGTTGACCCCACCCACAAAGTTACTCCACCCTCACTGTTACCCCACCCACGTACCCCTTCCACTCACCATGTTACTCTGGGCAACCTAGGGCCACCTTCATCTCCTCCGCCCACTCCAGCACAACCCCCATCACCTCTACCGGTATATAGCTCAGACTCACACCCATATCCCACCCACTCCAGCACGCTAACCTATGTTTCAGATATGTTCGGTTACGGCGCACTCCCTCCACCCACCCAGCTACCGCCCCCCGCACCTCACTACTGGCCGCCACTGCACTATTACCACCATTACTATCCAGGTACTCTTACACTATCACTCCTCTGGGAAACTACATCAAATACTTCTGGTTCGATACTGACACTGACTTGACCTTCTTCCCTTCGACGCTCCTTTGACAAGCAGGCGAAATAACAATTCATGCAGCTGTGCTGATGTCCTCCTGATATTCCAAAATGGACTTTCGTGTGATTACTACCATTTCTGATAAATAAGGACTTTTACTCTCTACAACTTTGATATTTTCTAATTAAATGTCATGGGAATGTTGTCGACACTTTCTTGACCCAATGCTGACACTACTTTCATCTCCTACTGAAAATATCTTGACGCTGCTGCTGACAATGCTTTGGACTGCAATTGGTACAACTGGACCTACTTCTGACATGGCTCTGTCTTCCTTGTGATAACTTCTATGCACTACTTCAACGCCGAGGCGACCTACAACCAACGCGACTTCTTCGATAAACCGATTAGCTAAATAGAAGTGTAGCTGATAAACAGTGTGTAGATTTAATGCTTCATTAGTAAAACAAGTAGACCGAGAACATCACATGGTAATCAACCTGTCATAATTCCAGGGTAAGTACTTCACAGCTTATCTAGAATAAAAGGTGTAGTTAGAGGCATGGGTTACACAAGGTTCATGAAAAGACTGGTAATTCAGTAGCTAGTATTTATTTATATATTGGTAAATAGTAAATGTAGAAAAATTGTCTTATCACCTACAAGAAAAATGTTGTGTAGTAAGATTAAGAAGACAGCTTCAGTTACTTCGGTAAATGCAGTCTTTCTAAATTAATCTTCAGAGACAATTATATATGTGAGGAAAGTCGTTCCTTGAATCTTTCTCAAACGCCAGGTGGTTTATCGAACGAAAATTAATCTGTTTACCTCATCTTCCTATCGTTCTTGACAAAACCCTCTTTCCTCCCCCGCAAAACAATTATGGGCCAACCAGTGACGACATCGACGACCTCAAGGCTAGACTCTGATCAGGGTATTGGCATGGCCCAAGACGTAACGTGACAGCCAACAGATTTGACTGTGAATTTTATGTTCTTGTTTTCATTTTACTCTCTTTTATCCAAACAGGTTTTAGCACGTAAGTAAATTCTTATGACTGTCCTGTATGTTGAACGGCATCGTAAAAAATATCAAGACACATCAGCGAATACGAAGGCATTTTGGATTTTCAGACGGATGAATAAACTATAAAACAGAGTAGCTTATGGTACTGAGGAAACTATCTCCTTTTTATATTTTTAAACCTGCTAAGCCTTTAATATCACAAGAAGGCCTTATTTATTCAGATACATGCAAATCAAAACAAGAAAACTTCCAATCTCACAGTAGCAAAGGCATTACATGTGAACACACAAACTGATATGTCATATTGCAGGCGTGAGTCGAGGCGACGAGGGGGTGTACACCAGCATAGAGCGACCTGCGCCTGATTTCGCAGTCTCCTCCAACCCGAACTTCTACTTATTTCGTTCCCACAGTCATGCTGGGATGATGTACTAGCTACAGGTGGGACATGATGCCATTATGATTGAATTGCAGTAGCTACTGTGATCCTAACGAGCTTTGTATTCTTGGGTTTCTAAAAAAAAAACATGCTGCTATAGCTAGCTAGGTAGCACATTGCTATAAGATTTTACGGAGCACTTTGCATTTTATGAATGCTGAACTTACTTGAAATCATAGCTTCAAAACTTAGCATCTCCCACCAACAAAAAATCGGGTCTAAATTGCAAACTGCATATTTTCCTGAAAAAAAGTGATAATCATAAGAAAGGAATGAGTAGTACTGTTTTGGTTAAATAGTTGCAAATTTATTTACTAAATCTTATTTCACCACCAGCTTATGAACCACTGCAAGCTGATGCAGGGTAGGCTACGATCCCGAGGAGACCGACGGTAGTGGCATCAGAATATCACTTCGACAGATGGCTTGTTGTGTGGCCTAATATTATTACCGTCACCTTGTTTGCAAAATAAATGGTGAAGTGCTATAAACATCCAGTAAAATGGCCATACACTGTGTTATTACAAGATGTCGATGATGTGTGAAGCAGCAACGTACATAGTGAGGATAATCTGCCACTACAAGGTTATGGAACATGAGCCATTCTTAACGATGCTTGTGATGTAAACATAACGATGCATTGCCAACCCATCACCGTTTAAGTAGTAAGGTGTCCGATTGAATTAATGGATATTTGTACAAGAATTGTGATAGTGAAACAACTTTAAACATGATATTTACATATTTTGACTTTTTATCTGTATGCAAAAGAGGTTGCCTGTGACCTCACTACGCCCAGTGCCCCATGAGCTGATATTTTAGGCTGTCAATTTTCGGTATTCATTATCTTCTGAGGACCATCGTGGCCTGTGGGAGCATGTTGTTGAATATTGAATACCTGGACACATCACTCTAAAATATATTGCCAAGGTGAATTTATAGTCATTGTGAGTTGTATACAAATTGCAGTTCGTTCTTGAGAGGATATGATCGTGGTACTGATCAAAATGACAAAGTTTCAACCGAAGACAAACATCAGTATTAGATACGTTTCTGTGTAACTCATTTCTGTGGATTTAGTCTTAACATGCAATTGCCGTGACGGCGTAATGCTGAGTGATATTTTGATTATGCCATGTTATTCATCTGTATGTTTATCTTTATGTGATTAAACTTTTTGTGACTACTTTGTCCATAATATTGCACACACACATACAAACAAACAAACAAACATATACACAAAGTTACATTTACACAGTTTACACTTGCACATATACATGCACAAACACACATACACAAACATACACACACACATACACACATACACACACACACACACAAACACAGTGTGTGTATATATATATACTTGTGTGTGTGTGTGTGTACATTGTGTGTGTATCTGTGTGTATACATATATATACGTGCATGCATATTACATACCCATACATACACATACTTAGTATCTACTGAACATTTTATAGATAATGCAATCAATCAGTGACAATCAGCTCATATCACTCTTCCCTATACATGATACAATAGAATGAATTACGGAAATAAATGAATCCACACCCCATATCCTCCAACCCTTAATAGAAAAAAGACACCACTTCCAGTTTCAGGTCAAGTAATACGTGGCCAAGGTGCATTTCCTGTGCGCTCTTCTATTCCTGATGCTCACAGCGCAAAGATGCTACCCTCAAACTCGGCGAAAATTATGTCTCCCTTTCGAGGTATTTCGAAATCTATTTGGACTTTGGTGTACTTCGGTATATAGCCTTGTCATAGTCTATATATCTGTAAGTTCTTCTCACTCCGATTTCTCATGTCTTCGGTATTTGGTGAAATGTTTCTTTTGGAAGAAGTGTCGAAAATGTGAAAAAAAACACTCCATTATTGTAAGGTTATTGATCAGTAAGCAGTGCCGTAATGATAAAAGCTTATATCATTAGTTGATTAATACATTGCTTTGTAACTCATAACATTCATAAAATATTTTCTCATGTATTCGTAATCATATGCAGAAGCTTTGATTCAATCCGGTCATATTTGACTCAACCCTCGCAACTTTTTACAGCGTTTCTTTAACTTATTTGTATAAATCTCGACTTTTGTTTCATTCTCTCTAAGAGACTGTTCGTACTGCAAATGCAGGCTGCAACATTATTGTTACTTCGTACAGGATAAAATTATAAATTTCACTCTTCTGTATTTCCTTAACATTTGGCCCAATATATCGATTGAGAGAAAGAATGAAATATAGCATGCATATAGAATAACAGTGTCATTCAAACCTTAACACGAAACGAAACATTAGAAATTCGAAATAGATTTTAAGATAAGTACATCCTCTCGCTTTCTTTGCCTTCAAACTGCACTCCTGATCTTTCGCTGTTATGTTTGCCTCGTCTCTCTGGCTCTTTCCACGCTCTTTCTTTCTAATTTTTTTTTCTGAAATCCGCAGACTTTATAAGAATAATGCCAATTGGTATTTTTAAATGTGTCCATTTCCCATGTGCATTTTATACATAGATTGTACAGCATTGTATATAAGTGATCACCTATAAATACTATACATACATATAGGGTGTTCTGTAGTTGTAATTTAATAAAATATAAACAATTCTA